AAAGCTTCCTGGATGGGAAGCGAAATGTGTTCAAACTTTGAAACAAAGTCCAGTGCATGGTTTTTAACTTTACTTTTTTTGTATGAGATTATAATATTGACACCAAAATGATCAGTCAAAGCTGCTGAAAATACTAACAACAATTGAACAGTTTCTACACTGAAAAAAATAATGCAACCATTTTTTGGCATTCACTTAATTTATATTTAGTTACTTTAACACAATTGTTTCATGATAGCAGGGTAGGACATAAAACAATTGTGTTAAAGTAACTAAATATTAAGTAAATGCCAAAAGCAGTCGCATTATTTTTTTCAGTGTATCTTTCTACACTTATGGTTGAATTGATGTCACACACCCTGCTCTGCATCAATAACAGCTGCATGAAGCTGATCCTACCTTTCCTATTGAAGTCCTGCGCGTCTTTCAGGAGCCCAGCAGCTCCAGCAGCGCAGAGCATCAGGAAAAGTGCCACCAGTCGGATGATTTGGTCACATGTCATCCTTTTGTCCTGTCTGTGCGCAGAAAGACTCGGACTGTGCTGTCCACCTGCATCCCTGGACAACCAACTGTCAGAAAACAGGCGCGTCGAAGCCAGCAGTGTTTGCTGTTTTTTTCCTTTTTCTTTTTCTTCAGATATGGCTGAGATGGCGCTGCGCTCTTACGCGCCTGTTGGACCGCGATAAGACGCGGCGTTGAGCTGTTTACGCTCTACAGTCAGGGAAAAGGGGGTGGAGCGAAAAAACTGTTCACAAACTGTAAGAAAGCAGTTTGATTCAGTTTTTTTTCTCTGAGATCCAAACTGCGCGTAAAAATGCTCCAAACAGCAGGTTGGGTTGATGCAACTTCCTGCAGAGCTACTGCTGCCTTTATAGAAATAAAAACAAGAGGCATCATGACAAAAAGCAACCATTTTCCCTCTAAGACATCTTAATAAAACTCAGAACAGCTAAAAAATTAAAATAAAAAAAAGCCCTGTGGTAACTGTGGAGGAGCAGCAGAGTTGCATCAGCCAGTGTGAAATCATTTGACTTTATAATTTAGAAAATGGCAACAGGGAATCCTTCATGAGCAATGCTTCATGAAGAAGATTCTCTGATCAGATGAAATCAAAACTGTGAATTTGGTTTGGTTGCAAAACAAAACTAATCATGTGAACCTGAAGGAAACATTAGGATGTCCCAATACAACTTCCATTTTTCCAGTATGATAGTAATATCGCACCTTTGAGTATAAACCGATACCGATATTGGCTTAATATGATATGAGCACATATAATTTATTACTAATTGTGCAGAAAAATCCATTGATATCAGTCACACAAAGAGAACAAAAATCAACAGCAATAGATATGAAAACAACAGACTGCTTATTTAGAGCAAATAAATGAAAAAAAAAACATAAAAGAAATTGAAATGTATATTTGAGCCTTTTCGTTTGAAAGATCCCACTTTAATTTATTATTTTTTTAAATTTTCAAATCAAAGCCCAATTGCATGTATTCAGTGTCTCTATCAGTTTTCTGATGTGGGAGATTTTAGATGCAGGCTGGTTTATTCTGCTAATCATCTATGGCTGATATCAAACCTGTTTCCATCCATAGAAAACATGGTGGTGGAAGCATCATGCTGTGGGAATGCTTTCCTTTAATAAGAACAAGCACCATGCCGTTTACATTTGATTACTGCTAAGAAATGAGAATGTCATTAAAGCTTTACAAAATGAAAGTTTCATTTTGTAAACACTCTGTGTATACAAAATGAGAATAAAATTGTCTAAATCTAAGTCTAAGAAAGTTGACAGAAAAATTAATAATGCTGAAAAAGGGGAAATGATAGAAGAAAGTCTTTTAGATGCAGCAAAATAGTTCTATAAAGGCTGGGAGTCCAACTGGAGAACAAACCCAAGAGAGCTACTATGGTCAAGATGAATTTTACATAACATAAATATAGCAAAAAAGGTAATAATTCATGATTTTAGTATATTTTCTTTAACTTTCTCTTCAGTACTTTAAAGGTACCTTAAACGAATGAAATTGGGGTTTTGTTTTCTACATTTTTCTGAATTGATTTTTTACCTTTGTTGCATGAGAAAAACATGTTTATGAATTGTATCAATCCCCTTTTCTTCTAAAACTGTAAAATATGTGATTATAATGAAGTAAAGGGGGGGTATCCAAAAACACACTTCAGTCACCTTTGATTTAAACAAAAGCATATCATGTCAGTTTAAAATCTGAACTCATACTTAAATCCAAAGCTTATAGAAACATTCCCCAATATAAAGGGGGCTTTTTTTTTCATGTTTACTCAAAAGGGCACCAAGAAAATCTAAAGATGATTTTCCTTCTCCTTTACAACTATTAACTGCTTTCTGTTGAAATGAAATCCCAATGAAGTACGTCACAGTTTGTGTTTGTAATCTTCCCAAATCTGGCATAACGACTTCTATAAAATACCATGGATACAATGGATTGATTGATTGATAGATTGCAGCACCTTGAGTGATCAGCAACAGCTCGGTGTAATGGAAACCGCAGCAAGCCCCCAGCCTACAGGAGGAACATTTAAACGGTTCCTTATCTCCCGTCTGCACTCTAATGTTTTCATCGTTTGAGCTGCACAGAACCATGTGTCTACACTCGTGATAAGTGGCTTTGATGGGGGAGGGGTGGGGATGGGGGGGCAGCAGCCCATCCCCATCAGTTTGAATGCAACTGGGTGCATATTTACATCACTTGGGTGCTGATGTAAACAGAGATCCACATTGGACCACAAAAAAAAAGGCGAAGGATTCATAAACATTCTTCTTTAAAACTGATCTAATTATGAAATATTACGAGGGTTAGGCCGTGCAGGAGAGGTGGTGGTTTCTGTTCCGTATTAGCAGGAAACCTGTCTATTGTGGCTTCTCTGTTTTTTTCCGATAAAGATAAAAACTGCAACCTTATGTTAGTGATAAAGGTTAAATCTGAGGTCATAAATTAAACTTGAGAAAATTGAGATACTGCCAGGAGTTAAGCCAGGCTGCAGTACATGAAGAAAACACACAGATAACTGCTTTAGATAGGCTAACATTTCTATTGGATTATCTGTATTTCCATGTAGTTTAGTGAAATAAACCCTAAAAAGAATGTTTCTGTTTTTTGTTATTTTATGTTAAGACCAAACTAGTTCAAACATCACAAAACAACTTAAGCAAATATGAAAATATCATTTCTCTAGTAGAAATGGACCTGCATTAAATTATCATTAATTAAACACATTTTATGGTTCCATTTGACTAGCAACATCATTGCCTGCTATTCCCAAACCTATTGACTCAATAAACTTGAATAAACACTTAAATAAAACCAGATTCACATCATGAGAAAGGCAAAAAAATAAATAAATCTGAAAAGGCACACCTCGTGTCTCTTTCTAAAGAAAGTCATCAACAGATGAGAAAATAACTGATGTCTACTAGTCTGCCAAACATTTAAGGAAGCAGGGAGACGACCAACATGGGAAGAAAGTGTTCTGTTCAGATGAGACCAAAGCTTTGCCAAAATGATTGAATCCAGAAAACTAGAACTGCACGTCACCCTGTTCACACCGCCATCATGGTCCTCATAGCAGCAGGCTCCGTATATTTTGTCCTCCTTTTTTTTGTTTGGTCATTTGTTTTTTTCTTTTCAAAATGGATATTAAAAATAAGTGGCTATTAGATTTTTGTTTTGAAGTGACAAAATTATTCTTAATGCACCTTTTCCTCCTTGTTTGCACCTTCTTTAATTACTATGTCAATATGTGACCAGTGAATTTCTCCCGTGTGATCAATAAAGCTCATCTAATCTAATCTAATCTAATCTAAAATTAAAGCATGATACAGAAAATACAAACAAAAGGGTTGTTATTTCATCCATCGAGTGGTGCTGGTGCCTATCTCCAGCTGTCAGTGAGCGAAAGGTGGGATAAACCCTGAACAGGTCGCCAGTCCATCGCAGGGCAACAAAGAGACAAACAGGACAAACAACCATTCACACACACTCACACATAAGGAGAATTTAGAGAAGCCAATTAACCTAACATTCATGTTTTTGGGAGGAAACTGGAGTACCCGGAGAGAACCCACGTGTGCCCAGGGAGAACATGCAAACTCCATGCAGAAAGGAATCGAACCTGAAACCGTCTTGCTGCAAGGCAGCACTGCTTCCCCCCTGCTGCAATTTGCATCATGCCATCATTACTTAAGAGGGCATTATTTGACAGAGCGCAGGTAAAACAAATAATCCGGAGAGCAACATCTTCTTCAAGAAAAATTAAGATCTTAAACCTTGTGGTTTAGGAATTAGAGGCTTTGTCCTGAAACCTGTAGGTATAACTACTAAATCTAAATTGTTTTTTAACTTGCTAAATCTCCTCATGCATTGTGTAGAACTTGTAGGACTTGTTTTATAACCAAGGTTCTAAAGTCATGTAATGCTGAACTAAAGCAGCAATGACACCATGTTACATTTTATGCTTGTACGAAGCAACAAAAAAATTGCCAGTTTTTGTTTCCGTTTTTGAAGCAATTGTATTTTTGGTTTATCAATACAAAAAGTTGAATTATTCAATATGTTTTTATTGTTCCTTTTGTGATAGGAAAAAAAAAGTTTTTTATTTTCAAGTTTTGTTTTTATAAACCAAAATCAAATAGCTAATTTTTATTTTATTTTTTACATACATTTAAGAAAAAAAACTCAAATGGAAGAAAGATGCAGTGAAAGCAGCATCCTGCTGTGGAGCCAGACACTTTCAACAGGGAATCTGGTTGAAGGGAAGATGGATGGAGCTGGAAAAAAATCCAGCTAGCTCTATTATTGGAATAGAAGAAGGGAACACAAACTAATATTAACTCTTACTTAAAGAGATGCGATAAAAAAATAAGCACATTGTTACTCACAACGGTTCAGAAAATAAATAAATAAATCAAGAATACTTTTGCATGTACTGTGATCTCAATTTTTTCTTTCACATTTTTATTGGCTTTCCATGTTGCATCAAAGCTCAGTTTATAGATAACATTTTTAGCATTAGCTAACACTTCTGATGATGAACATTATATCACAATCCAGCAGCAGCCGCTCATTTAGCAGGAGGGAGGGGGACTGACCACTGCATGGAGGGATGGGCCTGCATAAAGCATGGGTTATCAGCTCTGCTTCATAGTGACAGTTACTGGTCAGCACTGTGATAAATTCAGATGGTTCAGCACATTCAGATACTAACCTTAAAAATGAACCAATCAAAGGAAAACTTACATTTTCTTCCATTAAAAGTAGATTTTAATGAAAGACTGAAAATGTTTGGTGAGGAAAAGGTTTAATATTTGTGAAAAACATAAATCATACAGCACATGATTTATTTCTTGGTCAAAGATAAATGAATTATAACAGTAAAGGGGAAGAAAGTGGGCTTTTTTTGTTGCAACAGCAGCATCATGGAGGCTTTGACTTATCGCTGTCAGCAATCGGTGTTCCTGCTTTTCTGGGCTCACAGTTTCACTTTAGGGAGATTTACTAATCTCAGCAGGATCATTTACCACCAATATAAAGTAGTGGATTACGACAAATACAGGCTCCAGATAATCTTAGGGCAGCAGTGGGTTTAAAAGTAATGGAATCTATTAATTTGGTCACCTTTGGTTTTTCATTGTGTTCTCCAGGTAAAATACATTTAGAAATTAAAGACAAGGCTGGTTAATATTTAGTCTCAGGCAAAACGCCTTAAAGAAAGAATAGCCCAGTTAGACCACTGAGGACCTGAGGCAGGTCATGTGACTCTGCTTCCTCTGAGATGACAGATTACAGTAAATGAAACCTTTTATTAAACAGGTCTAAGTAAAACAAATAGTTCTAAACAAGCCCGGAGCATCACACATCCTCCCCCATACTTTATGCATGAAGAGCTTTTAGGTCCAGTATCTTGTTAAAACCCATCTTATAGATGATCAAATATTGTCTCATCTCAGGTTCTAGTTGATTTAAGAAAGCTCTAAATGTTAATAATTGGATGGAAATCGCTTCAAAACAACCGACTGGCATTTAGAAAGCCTTGAATGGTTGCTGAGGTGACCTGTTGCCCCCGACAACCCTTTACCTGCGTTTCCAGTAAGGTCACAGTGTGGCGGCCACATGGATGTACAGTATCCGCGCCCAACAGGCGATCGCTAAAAAAACTGGACCGGCTGGCCCATTCTGATTTAGTGGGAACAGGAAGTTCCTACGGATCAAGTATTAAAATATACAAAGGTAATGTTTTTTTAAGAGACTTTTGGGCAGAATTTAATCATTCCCAACATGTAATATTTTTACCCACACTGATTACCTATAATTGTAAATAATTGATTATTGGATGCCACCATAATAAAAGGATTCCTTTTTTTTTAATACTCAGCTTTATGGTGCATGCAAACAAATGGCTTTAAATATTTATTAAAATTCATCAGGAGCAATTAATAGAATTGTACCTGCAGACAGAGAAGACCCCCAGCTGTGATAAAATCATAAACTCACTGGAAGAAAAAGTATCTTTGGTACATGAAGAGGTTTCCCATTTTCTATGTCTTTTATTAAATGTATAGAAAACCTTGTTGTGGTTGAATGTGTTTACTGAAGGCTTCTAACCTGAGGGAGCTTAATCCGTACATTAGTGTTCAATTATTTCGGTAACACCATTAAAACCCATATTCTATTAACTTTTTAAATATTAAATGCTTCCTGGCAGAGCGGATAATGCTGGACTGAAGATTGGAAAGGTTTCATACACAGTTATAAAACTAAATAGAGAGAAAGAGACACAGCAAACATCTTCATGGGGGAAACTACAGCCGTGTTGGAGACATCTCAGCTTGCTGCCCTCTGGCTGCCTGAACAAAGCAGAAGGAGAGGTTCCGCACTTCCAGGGTTCAGGCACAGAGTGGAAGTTGTTCTTCATATAAGTTATCGGTGTATGTGGGAGCGGCAGAGTGTGTTTGGAGGCTTCATTTAAAAAAAAAAAAAAGCGAGGTTTAGCAAGCACAGGCGCCGTGGCTTTCTTGAGAGTCTTTAATGTCCAGGTCCTTATTGTTGGGTTGCTGGTTGGCGCTTGCCTCCATCTCTGCATTCTTGACACAGATGACGTCAACGAGACGCTCAAACACTTGCTTGACGTTGATGTTGTCCTTAGCGCTGGCCTCGAAGAACTCAAAGCCTGCGGGGAAGCATCAGAGGAAATCTGTTTGATCTGATCTGCAAACATTTATTAAATGCATACATCGCCTTGGTGGAGTATTATTACCATTTACACTTTTACATTTTGTCTCATTACAATCACTAATTTTGACAAACTGTGCAGGGAATGTGTGTGTTAGGTCCAAACAAACAACAAAACAACTCTGAATGGAAAATAAAACATGTTTTCAAAATCGTATTACTATTAAATAATACAAATAGGCTGGCATGCATTTCCTACAATACAGCTACGAATCTTCTGGCATATGTATGTAGCAGTTTTATGTATTACAGACTTAAGGGAATAGAATTCAAAATCCTCCTCCTCACATATACAGTAAAGCCTTAAATGGCCAAGCTCCATC